TGTCTAATAATAGACAGTGAATCTATTATTACAGTGTCAGCCCTCTGTCCGGGACTCTTTTTGTAAATTTACCTTGCATTTTACTTTGTTCGAGAGAATACATTATCTAATCTGCCACCTACTCTACTTTAACATTTGCTACAGACAGGGAGAAATGCCAACAATTCCACTGAGCCAAATCCAGCTTTAGCTAATAATCAGATAATTTTCGGTTGAGAGCCCTTAATTTCAATTCATAAGAGAAACAAATGCTCCAATGACCCATCTTCTGTATATAACGTATTATAAGTATAAAATGTTTTTAAATTATTATTATATAATTATAGTTTGTATTCAGATATTGTAATAAATTTTCGGTTGAGAGCCCTTAATTTCAATTCATAAGAGAAACAAATGCTCCAATGACCCATCTTCTGTATATAATGTATTATAAGTATAAAATGTTTTTAAATTATTATTATATAATTATAGTTTGTATTCAGATATTGTAATAAAACAGAATACCAGTTTTAATTTTCTGAAGTTGAGAGATTTCAACGATATCATCTTTGGAAAGCTCTAGAAACAGTTACTACAAAGAACAGTGGTGCGCTGAATCTAGGCACACTCTCATTTATCAAAGCCCTTCAGCAAAGGACTCCCAGCCCATTAATTTCGGAATGGAAGAAAAATATACTTTTATTACAACAGAACCTGAAAGAAAATCAACAAAAGGCAATTTAGTGAAAAACTCAAAAGTGAATCCAATTAGAAGGACCATGCTGTTGTTCAAGTAGTCTCCTTTAACAGTGGTTTTTAGGTACTGTATAGTGAAACATTTTAAGGAAATGTATATAATCTGTATTGGAGGTCATTGGGAGAGAGAGAAAAACCAGACAAGACTGACAGATCTATGCATACAGACAGACATATTGAGTTTCTGTCACAGGAAATATTTTTTTAAATTTATGAATCAGCCCATTGGCCTCACCTAAACTTCAACTAATTATATGTAGGGTAATCTTCCATTAACCAAAACAAGGAAGGCATCCTTCAGTCTTTGTAGCATTTGGGGAAAAGAAGGTTTTTATCTTGTGTATTGCACATTATAAAATTATTGCCTTGAATTAGTATGGCTGCAAATTAAAACATGCTTTTACATGTCTGCTAACTATCTTCTCTGGTTTGCCTGCAACAGGTTTGTATAAAGGTGTCACCTTGTGCCCTTCAAAGATAAGTGCTAAGTTGCCACAAACATTATCAGGAATAGGTGGCTTTCTATTAAGGGATATATATTTGTATGGATTTACTGTACATTGTTTTTGTCATCTCCCATTTATAGCTATTTTCCAAAGAAAAAATTCTTATTCATTTCTAATTTAAAGTCCTGCTTACCTGCCCTGTCAGGCACATCAAGGATCTCTTACTAGTTGAGACGCCAATCTCATATCTCACTGAAGAGTGACACTGATGAAGATTCTGAGCCAACTTTTCTATATGATCCTGGAGTCTTTTTGGACAGTGTGCCATTTCTGAAAGATGTTAGGAGCTATCCCGCTGCGTGCTCTCATTTCTGTGCTGAAGTCTTGCAACCATTAGAAATGAGTTTTCATCTTTGATAACTGGGATGTTTTTTGCAAGTGGCAGGCAACACACTGGCGGTTTTGGATGTCTGCTGTTAGATCCAGATGATAAATATTTAGATGTATTATATAATAGGTCTAAGTGTATCTGCCAAGGTCATCATATATCATGTACAGTAGGAGAACATAAGTACAAGCATTAAATCTTCAGATTTCCTAAGTGGTAATTATCAGATTGAGTAGTAGCCTTTTACATGAGTTGTGGAGGAGATTGTGCAATCTAAAATACATTTTTAAATACTTGTATCTGTCATTGAACACTGTACTCCCGAAATTGTACCACAAAGGATGTGTTATAAGATAAACATGTCCTGTATTAGTCTAAACAGTTTGCTGAATGACTTCATTTCATGAACATTTTTCTTTTGAGCTTTTATTTTTACACTATATGTCTAGTAACTTCCTACCTTCGATCTAATTATGATTGGTAGGTTCTGTCTGTTCCCCATGGTTAACTCAGTTCATTATTACATTTGGCTCCTATCCTAAATATAGATTCAGTAAAGACTGTTAATGCTGTGAATTGTCCCCTGAGCTGGAAATACTGTTAAAAAAAGAGAAAATCAACCTTGTGATAAAGTGATACCCTGCACGTTTCCTTCAGTATATTGGAGGATTAATTTCTTTTTCTATTTGTGTATTTGTATTTTGCCCCTAGTTCATCCCGTTATGTGGTAATTTAAACAACAAAGGGAGGTCATCCTTAATCTGAAGATTTTTCTAATCTCTTAGTTTATCATTACAAGACTTCTGTCTAGGCATTTCCTGAATGACCCTAGAGAATCAGCATCTATAACTTCCAACTTCATGTACAAAGAAATGCCTCCCTTTCTCTTTAATGAATATACAACTGTTCTTTTCTGGATCTGGCAGTTTTGTTGACTTTCTCAATCACTTCAGAGTTCAGAGTTCAGTTTATTGTCATATGCACAAGTGCAACAAGTGCTATATAATGCTTATTTGCATGTATGCTCCTATACAAGACATTAAGGAATCACCAAAAATACAGAACAGTGACAGCAACAACAACAAGTTAAATAACAGACAACTTAGAGAAACCTCCCCCCAAAAAAACACATCAGTGTGAGCCAGAAGTAGGGGTTGAGTTCAATAATCTGACAGCCTGTGGGAAGAAACTTTCTCTGAGTCGGGACGTTCGTGCCTTTATGCTCCTTTCAGGCTTTCAGGTCTTAATGAAAACATAAAACATTTTCTCCTGCTGTCACCTTTATTCCAAGCCAAAATTACTCTGTTCTACTAGATTTTGTCCATAGCAGTATTATAATTTTTGTGCTTTTAAAAAAAAATTAAAAACAAACAGATACAATTATGGGAGTTGTTTTGCTCTGGTTGAGGACATCGATGACGTTACATGGAACACCTTTTGTGACTCCCAAATGAAAGTACAATCTTTCTACCTGCCCTGGTTTTTTCCAGCTTTCCCAGGTTCGGGTTGGTTTAATCCATTTTGTGTTTTCTGTGTTATGTCTAAAGTGTTGTATAGATTTTATTTGATGTAGCCCATCAGTCATTATGCCTTCAGAAATAACAACCAGGCTTTACACTTTGGTTCCTATTAACATGTCAGTCAAGTACAATTTCATGTTTGTTTTGACATCTACAATGATGTTACAGAAAACTTTTTTCATTCAGAATTAAGGGAATTGTGTGGGGTTCTGTAACTACTGATGTATTTTTAGAGAACACATGAATGAAAAAATACCTTATGCGTAATTCCTTTACTAGTGTGTTTTTGAATTTTAAATCAAAACATTTACTACAAGATTAATTAGACTATGTTTTAAATCTTACACAATTGCTCTTAAGTAAGACATTTCTAAAATCTAAATCATGAAGGGTTAAGCTTACCTTGTTTAACATGATTGTTGCCTGGCAACCAAGAATGGCCATGTTCTCTCTGCAGACAGGAGACAGAAAAAGAAGGTAGGAGTCTTTATGAAAAATAAATTAACTCCAGTAAGTCAATTGGAAATATTCATTAAAAAAATTAGAAGCACGTATTAAGTCTCTCTAAAAAGCAATACAAATTCTCAAGGGAAGTAAACTGACAGCTTTGAGTTTATTGTGGAGAAAATGCATTCATCAGTCTAAGCCATTAAAAAAGGAGAAAGTAGAAACTAAACACAGACCAAGAGCAATGCACAATCATTTATATTTACCACTCAGTGGTTTATCATCATGCCATGAGTGTGAAAGAAAAAAAATATATTTTTGTTTTAAATGTTCTTATGAAGCTCAGATTGGGTAATCTTTTCCCCAACAAATGCTACGTTATAAATATTTACTACAGAACTGTTTGTGTGCAATATCCTTTAACCGATTGCCAACAAGAAAACGCTAAACACTTAGTGCTACTAAAAACACTAATGTTTTAGAAATGGTACAGAAATGCCTTTCAACTTACCATTTAAATACTTTTGACTTGCGAAACAAACAATATGTTGCCATGGCAGTTATGTCATGTTATTGTTTTATGTAATTAAGTTTGATTTTTATTGCCATTGTAAAAAACAATCAAATTCCCTTGAATGTAACAAATGGATGAGTCTGCATAAGAGGATGTTTTAAACCATTTTTCATTGCAGTTACTCAAGGTTGGATTATATCAAAATTTTCAATATGATGGAGGCTTTTGTAGGTCAGTTGCTTACATTATAAAATGAGTACAAAGTAAGTAGAGTGTCACATTTCGCTTGCAGGAGTATATGGGAACTGGGGAATTTCTACCTTGTACTCTGTACAAGCTTTTAATTTTAAAGTATTAAAGAAATCATTCCACAAATTTTGTATTTTTGAATATGGTACAGCATGCAAATTTCTCTCTCACACACAGAGATGTATTCCTATCTGTTTGGGAACTTGCCTTGAGTGTCATTATTTTTATTTTTAACTCCATTCAAAATAAAACTCATCACATGGTGAAAATACAACTAAAAATATACCATAGGCACTTTGAAATTTAAAGATGTTATCCGTTTTTGAAAAAGAACTTATATTTCCTTGTGTGGATGTTCTCACATTGTGTCTGTCCAGATGTACACTGTACACTCTCCTATACATACTGTAAATATATCACCATTCACCAAGCCCCCCTTTTGAGCTTATTTCTCACATCCCTCCACCCATCTTCACTCTTCCAGCAGCTCCCTGGTTCGTTCTTCGAGACGCGAGGGAAGTGTAGCTGGTCTAATTTTCACTGGAGGGCTGCTGTCACGATTGTAATCCCTCCCCCTTAAGGGCGCTCCGGCTCTTTAGCATTTTAGCTGATTTTGTGCACCTGCGTCCTATCCAGCCCCTCCTTAAAATCCAGACGCTCACTCTATTCCGGGCTCTGCATTGGAAGACGGACGCCCGGAGGCCTGCCTACCACCAAGTCGCTTCAAGCCCATGGCTGGAGGGCTTAGGCATCCTATCGGCGTCCTTAACCTGCTGAGTCTGGGGTTCAGAGCGCCTGGCCTCATCACCCCCTTTTTTATTCCCCATTCCTGCACCGGATCCCGTTCCGGTTTTTAACCTCGTCTTGTTTTTATCTCGTCTGGATTTCCTGGTTTTGGACTCTTGGATTTCACCCCAGATTTCCCCAATGGACTCTCTCGGATTTGTTTGCCTGGACCACGCCCCCCCCGAGCCCCTATGCACACTCCTCATGCTCCCCTGTTCATCTACCACCCCAGTTCCTCGTCGTCTCCTCCCCACGTCTGTTCACTCCCTTCTGGATTCTGCTGTCTGCATAGGGTCCTAAAAAACGCTTCGTGACAGCTGCGGCTCCCCTGCCAGGTGAGTAACAACAGATAGACTTCAATTCATTGTGTCTGTCTGTAGCATTAGTTAGGATTTGACCAAACAACTGAAATTGAGAACAAATTACTTAACGGATTACTTTCAAGCATCTCTGAACCCTAAATGTAATCCCTTTCCAGTGTATAAATAGGTCTATGTTCTATTTGAGCCCTTAAGTAAAGCCGAAGCACAATAAATTGATATATTTTGTGATATGTTGCTGCTATTCAAAGCATCACAAGAATTATGCACATTAATGTTGTTTTTTTCTGATGTTTCTTCATACTGTACTTTTGCTACTCACAAGACATAAAAATTGAAAAAATGAACTGTTCAGTATTTTGTGTCATCTGGAAATAAATGTATCTAAACATATTGAAAACCACATTCTAAATGTTCCATGGAATGTTTGTACTTTAAGACGCAATATCATCTTTGCTGTCCTTAAACAGAGGCTCTATAATTAGCAGTTTAATTAGGAACAGTAATTAGCTTTGTTTAATTACCTAGATCAGATGTTCAGCTTCCTTAATTAAGTTATCTTGGTCCCCAAGTAGATAAATTGTATTGCAGAAATCCACTATCTTGATATGAAGTATTAATTTAATGAACACATCAAAATTCAGCACTGTGTGGTGATATTCTTCAGTGGGAAGAGCTTATTTCTGTCTAGAAAAATGGAAAGATGTTAAATTTCTTGGCTTTAAATATTTTAGTACACTCCTATTTACCACAATATGTCATGCATTATTTGGTCATTTTTCCTATTTTCTCACCCAATCCTTTAAGTCTCTTTGGTGATGTAAAAACCATTATGTACAACCCTCCAGTGTTAGAGTTTCCTTCTTTGTTTACCCTTTCCATTTATCCATTCCTCTCTGACAATGTTGAAGTCAATAAAAAGCCTGTAGGTAATAAACACAAATTTCCTGATTTGATTCAGTATTGCTCTGTGATGGTGTCACAAACACACCCAAGGTGAAAACAGACACTCCAAGGCATTAAGATGAAGCTTCACTGAGGCTCCAATAAAGCCAGAGCCTTCAAACCTCACATCATTAGCAAATTCTCAGCTGAATACTGTGTGTTTTGAACTTTGTGAAAACTGTGAAATTAACTTTTAGTCTGTGTACTGCTGTTATTTATGAATGTTGCTTTCATATAAACCTTTGCTTCATTAAACCTTTCCTAATTTTTTGTTTGGTGAATTTTGCTTTTCTGTCAGCACCTAGAAAAGGGCCGACATCAAACATTGGACATGTCTATGAGTGAAGAGTTCAGTCAAAAATTTAGTTTGCATACATATGATGACCAAAAGATACTCAACTACAGATATTACAGTGGAAGCACAAATCTGTGGATGATGTAAAAATGCTCCAGCAGATTTTCTGGTAGAAATTTAAAATGTATTTCAGGAACCCCTGGGGCTGGCATAGCGCAGTCGGTGAGGTTGCGAGTTACAGTTCCTGCTGCAGACACTGCTGTTCTGCCTTGAGGGAGGTGCTCCTGTCCACCCAGCTGTCTAAGGGGTGACCAGCATTGCTGGGAGTTTATCCCATGACGCCATGTGCTCTCTAGTCCATTTGACCCGACACAAACCAGAATAAGCTCCAGCTCTCATAAAAAAAAATATTTTCCCTTTTACCACTACAAATTGACTGACTGCTTTTTGCAGGTATCTGGTCAAAGATATACAGTAGGGGTATTACTTGCTTGTCCTTCAAAAGAAATTCAACAGACCTTTTAAAAGTCACTCGCATTTGTATGACTTCACGGACTCTTGTGTCACATAGCACACTTACAGAAATATGTTTTTTTCCAACACACCATCCCCTTCCTCACACACCCAAATATATTGTACATATCACTGACCGGTTATTATTAATAATATAAACAACATTTATTTCAATGTTTAATCTGAGTTTGTCCTGAAGTGCATAGTTCTCTTATCCTGACAACGTGATACAATGTATTGAAAATCTTTAAATGCTTTGACAAAGTCAGTGCTGTGGACTTCTTCTAGAATGAACAGTGAAACATGAACCAGAGAGCATAAGTAGAAACTTAATGGAAGTGCATTAAAAATTGAGAACAGAAGGCACCTTTTTACAATCACAGAGTTGGGAGCATGGAACAAGCCATCAAGCCTGCTGTTGTTGAAGGCGATACCCTGGCTTCATTCACGAAAAGGCTGCATAAGATTCCCGGATGCTTTGGCATTTGGCTGCCAAATTAACTAGATGGGCTGCATAACTTCCTCTTGTTTGAAACCTTTCTTGTACAACACAGATCCCTGCCTCTGGAACATTGAAATATGCTGTATCTTCTGCTTAGCATTGGTCTGTCCCTCTGGACATGCGAAGAAACGTTAGTAATCCAGGATGCAGGTAAGGGAGTCTAGTTTTATGAAACTGTGATAATAGATCTAAAACCTCAATTTGCCAGTTGAAAACACTTGAACAAGAAGAAAAAGAGGTATTTTATGCGAAAAAGGTAGAGTCTTTCAAGAAAATCTGGCAATCACCTTTTGGTTTTTTACAGAAGAATATCCTCAAGACACACCACTTGCAGCGAAGCAAGGTTTTGGATTGACTCCAGGAGCTGTAAACAGATGTTGAAAGTGCTGCCCTATAGCTGTGATGGCAGATGTATACCCTGCTTAATGTTCATCGTGATGCTCATTGATGCTATTAAAATTGAATTAGCATTAAAATGTTGAACTCCAAAAGACTTTCTAAAGGAATGAAAAAAACACTAGAAATTATTTTGTGCCCGAAGGGCTTGACTAATAAGTTAAAACTGGATAGTACTAGCTATCTGCCAAAAACAGAAAAAATCTGCAATCCATTAAAAAGATGTAATGAATTCGGTTTAATCTGTACTGTAATGTGTTCAACCTTTGAGAAAGATTTGTCCCACTGGAGTACAGGATTTAGTGACACTGTGTTAAAGATTTGTACAAGCTCTAGAGGTTAATGAGAAGCACTGAATCAATGCATGTACTATATGTACAGATTAGTGTCTGTGATTATTACTGAACTGCTCCAGTCATGTCTATATGCAATATTCAAGAATATGGTGCATGTTCACCCATTTTGCATGAGGGATCCTTTGCTCCTTCAGATCCTGGCATCACTCTTCTTCAATGTGCTTGGTTTACACGTGTGACGGGGTGGTCTGCCTTTTTTTTGTTATTCGGAGGTCAGAAAACTGTTTTTTTTAATCCCATCTTTTATCATCTGTACCCGTGTATGAGACACTCATGAGGTATGAAATAATGCTTTTCCCATACAAATTTCTACTGCTGTCCACATCTGGGTTTCCCTGTGGTTTTGTTTGTACCAAAGGTACCAAAGATGGCCACCAGTAACCCTTCAGAGCTCTGAGATGGTTGATATTGCCACATCAGCAAAAACAACATTGCAGTTTCAGATAAAGATTACCAAACCGCCACACTTAAAAGATCTGTTATTTTCTATGATGACTCCGTGATCTTAAATATAAATTGGCTGAATTGGGCGAATGGCTGTTTGTTTGTGCTCCCTGCAGTGGACTGGCATCCCTCCCTTATGGACTCATACCTTAGGTTCTGGGTCACAACAACCCTCTGAAGACCATCCATCCAGTGAACATGGATGCGTGGAAATCACCGCAAGGCTCTGTCATAGTTCTGTTCCTGGATGCTGAGTTATGTTGCAACCAAATTCATTCTAATAAATTAGATCAATCTGTTGTAACAGATTAACAGACTGCTTCAAAATTCTTCCTGTAAACAAAAGATACAGTAAAGTTTTTGTACAGTACCTCTGCCATGTTCCTTGTTACAGGAGTTCTGTTATGAACTAAATTGTTTTTAAATACTGTTATTACTAAAAATAAATTTGTTTTTGAGAACCATGGAATTAATAGTCTGAAGGATGGGATTCAGGACTGGGAGATCAGAAATGCACAGTGTGACTCAGAGATCATCCTGAAGAGTGACTTCTTTTATTTCTCAACAAACATTGGGGGCTTCAGCTCTAGCAGGGAGTAAATCCTTCAGTTCCATCATTTTTCCAGTTGTTGTCAGGAAACTGCACATCAGATTTAATATACAGATCATATAGCACATATTCATAATAACGATGACCAATGTAGCAACAATTTTAGGATTCAATGCTTCATTTAAGATTGCTCCAGATTCTTTTTGAAACTTTTAAGTTAACTGTTCAAGTTAATTTGTGACTGTAAAAAGTCTCCCATATGTGTGTGTGCCCTTGTGATGATCCAGGCTTGTCCTGTCTTGCTCCCAATGTCTGTGAAATTAGCTTCCTGCTCAGAGAAGTTCTGTTTTGGATTCATTAGTTGTTGAAAACTGATGGCTGGAACTTGTCTCATCCTTAGTATGTAATTGTTTTCAGAGAAAATTTGCTTTTCTCTTTTTCTCTTCATCGTTTTAGAGAATCAATCACACTGTCTCACAGCACTTATAAATAAGCTCTTTGGGAATAAACCAGCTTTCGGTATTGGCGCAACCAAAGCTGTCTTGATTTATTTATTTATTTATTTATTTATTTATATTTTTGTCAATATTAAATAATATTATATTACCGGCAGCCATATCACTCTGCAACTCAGAACTGGCAACCCACTGAAGATAAACAGGTGTGAGCCTGGTCAGTACCTAGATGGGAGACCTCCTGGGGAGAAACTAAGGTTGCTGCTGGAAGAGGTGTTAGTGGGGCCAGCAGGGGGCGCTCACCCTGCAGTCCATGTGGGTCCTAATGCCCCAGTATAGTGACGGGGACACTAAACTGTAAACAGGTGCCGTCCTTCGGACGAGATGTAAAACTGAGGTCATGACTCTCTGTGGTCATCAAAAATCCCAGGGTGTTTCTCGAAAAGAGAAGTGGTGTTACCCCGGTGTCCTGGCCCAATTTCCCACTGGCCCTTACCAATCATGGCCTCCTAATAATCCCCATCTA